CAAGGGCCATTGGCCGCACATTGCTCTTAGTAGAAAAAACTTTGCGAGGGGAATGAAACTTTTCACTCCAAAATGTTTCACTTGGTTGCGTATGTGCCTGAACCAAAGACCGTTCTAATCTACGCCCATATTTTTGCAACCCATCAGATTTCACTGTCCAGTGAAGTGGTCATTCCTCTGGCAGGAAAATGTCTGGTGGAATACTTTTCTAGCATCGCTGAGACCCCCGGGATGCTTAGATGAGGCTGAAATGTTTAGACACGTGTTCTGAATTCGATTGCTAGTATCTTTTAGTCCATCAGGGCACGTCGTAGTTTTTGAAAACTCAATTCCATTAGGCAAACACTGAACGCCCGCTTCACCTTATTTCATTAGGCTCTGTTTCCCAGCTGGGGATAAATGTTGACCTTGAAAATTCGCCCACTAAAACAAACAAAATACGCACAGAATTTGCAGAAAAACGCATTACATACAACATTCTCAATCAGGAGTTGGTAACCTAAGAAACCGTGGTTTCCGAGACGCCATCTCTACCCGCTGGATACCGGTCGGCTACTTTTGGAACCTATATGGATGGGCTAATTGTTGGAGAGCAGGAAACCCAATGTGATAAGTATTAACTGATAGTCTCATAATGAGTCTGGAAGACACCGACTGTTGTGAGCTAACCAAAGTAGTAGAGCAATACGGTCGTTGTTGAGTCAGCGAGAATGGCAGATGGGCTTTATGAATGCTGTTATAAGGAATTCGGTTCCACAGGATAGCCTTAAGCTAACGACATGCACTCTCGTTACAAAACTACAACAATGATTACGTATTATTTGAATGTAGAGGGAAACTCAGATGTTCACCGCGTTGAGCAGAGAGGGCTAGCTAGTCTACTAACCATGCCTCTACAGCTGTAAAACAGACATCTTTATAAGGACCTAAAATAGACAAGTTCGATGCTCACGCCCCCCTTAGCGTGCACACTATGTTTAGTAGACTTGTTGAGGCACATTTATGGAAGAAACTGACCAAAGGGTATTCATCGGGGTTTTTGAAGACATTTTCGAACGTCATGTGCTACAGACCCGCGTACCAGCTAGTGCGATTGAACTCCGTCTGCGGGACTGCACTGTGTGCACGGAGCATAAAACCCTGGGTCAATAAGAACCGACAACGCGGTTGGCCTCCCGTTGTAACCTACCGAATCCGCATTCAGTTGAAAAACTAAACGAAATATTTAGACATCTCATGGACGTCTTACCTGGATATTCCCGTGTGTTTTTCCCAACTCATTGAGGCGAGTGCCCCACAAATGTTATGTTTGTGCGTACTGCTTCAGGCAGCTGTGGTTTTTCCGACTGGCACGCGCGTGTCGAGAACATAATCAGGTATCCGATTTAGTGAACTTTTGGCATGAGGTAAGTGATATCAGCGGGGTTGTGGATCCCTCAGGACGATTGCGGCTATTAGATTGTACGCAGCTCGTAGCCAATAGTCAATAACAGACAGGTGTGGGTAGCAGATGATGTACTGAGGACTGACAGGAATTGGTTAATTAATAATGACGCAATCAGCAGGAGCGGAAAATAGTTACTGAGGCAGTGGGGATCTATACAGGGGCAGTGTGACAGTGCAAGTTGGTCGCATAGAGAGATGACGGCGCGGAAATCGGTACGTTTGGGATGTGAGGGACTGTCTCTCGGCCGGCGGTGCGACGCGGCAGCTCGTGTCACGTGACGTGTCAGATTGCGCGGTTTCGTCCGTTTAGAACAAATCTCGCCAAGGATTATCTGGCAGGTGCGGTACACAGGCAAAGCATAATAATATACCGTTATGGGCATCAGGTTGGTGTAGTAGATGGCGCGTTGGCTTACCGCCCGGGAACTCTTGGTTCGATGCCCGGTCGGTCCGCCTTTCCGTCGGAGTGGAGGCTCGAAAATAGGTACAACTGAGACGAACTTTCAAGCAATTACGGACGGGTTACAAAATATGGACATCAGTTACTGAAGAATAAGCAGACCTTAAATAGGAACGAAACAAGGGGAAAACGAGCAGCAAGGAAACAAAACAGCGTCATAATAAACGGGTGTGGTCATGTTACTCATGAGTAGTCAGAAAACAGGGAAAATTACCGCTGATTCGCAGGGGGGATCAACAAGGCATGTATGCAACTCTCAGATAGTATACCTAATGACTGAATTCATGTTATTTCGCTGAGATGCAACCTCGTTAGGCGTGAGGTTTTTTTAATGAAATCACATGGAGCCCTACATCGAAAGAAATTATTGAATCGAATAAGCGAAATAATGGCAATGTCTCTTATGCAGATGTTCCTGATATCCTTTCGGCCGACTCATTTGTTCACGTGGCCGATGAGTTAGTGAGATTTCGCGGGACGTCCGGTAAACGTGTAACTTTCTGGACTGACACAGGATATGTTAGTGCGCACCTGTCGCTATCACTGGTTACCAAAGTAAAAATTCCCTTTCGGAGATTTATTGGACTGGTTGCTCGCTGTGAGTCATGGGCTGAAGCACTGCGCCCTGCGATTTCCGAGCTCGCATTAACAGATCATTGAGGAAAATAGAACACTGTACGTTTCTCACAGTTTTCGATCCGAGAAATAATTTAAACAGGAACAACTGAACAGTTAATTGCTACACCGGAATAACTGAATGTTTTGATTCCACAGTAGTGGACACAATGCTGTTGGAGTCCGACTGGAGCCGCCACTAACAGCAACATCATTACCATTGAGACCATACCCGGCCAGATGGTATAGGTGTTCTATGGTGAACCAAGCCCATGTTCACAGACACCCACACCAACTGGCTAATAAGCTGGCTAAAGGAGCAGAAAATGTTCAAGAGCCGAATACCCAACAGGGTACGACAATAAGATACCCGGTTATGCATTCGAAAATGGCGGGGAAGCGACCAGGTAACCGAGGGATTCCGTATCAGTAGGTGGATCGCTTCGATGAGTGAGCTACATGAAACAGGCACAGAAGACAAAAGATTCTGCTTCATTGATCCGCGATCTTCGTTAAGTTTGAGCTACATGAAACAGGCACAGAAGACAAAGGACTGCTTCATTGATCTTCGTTAAGTTCTACGCCGCGGGAGAAACTCATGCTGAGCAACCACCTTATTTTGTTGTCATTCTTGGGCACGCCATTATTCATTCACATAAATATTTGTTTTTTCTTGGATGTCAGGAAGCACTCATAGTGCTTACACAAGCTTATTCATACATCGAGATGCAGGTTCAGTCATCGGTAGCACCCCAGGAGACACTTGGGCACGCCATTATTCATTCACATAAATATTTGTTTTTTCTTGGATGTCAGGAAGCACTCATAGTGCTTACACAAGCTTATTCATACATCGAGATGCAGGTTCAGTCATCGGTAGCACTCCCAGGAGACTTAGATCCTTTGACATCGTGTACCGTGAGTGCTCACCTATGTCACATAATGAGACCTCAATTCATTCATTCATTCATCCAAAGAGAGACGGCGACGACTGTCAACTGTGAACCAAGCTCAACTTTAGGGGAAAACGACGTTGATGTCATTGTCTGTGTGCTGACTGTCCACGAAGTGTCATCCTTTTCTGTGCAAGACTATAACGTAACCAGTGTAGTTCCGCGAACAAGATCGAAAAATCAGGCAGTGGAAGCGACTATTTTCCTTCAGTAAAAGGTGAAAAATATTACGACTGCAGGTGTTTTGACAAGTAACTGGAGAGTAAATCAAGAGATAGAAATTAAAACAAGTGGTCCATGATAGATGTTTAACCGAACCGTAATTAATTATATGTGATTCCTTTGACGCTTGCTTGGGCAACGCGGGCGCACTGAAATCGGTCCAAAATGAACCTTGCAATAAGTGTCTACTGCAGTACGTTAGTCATACATATCGTCTGTACTCGTGAAGCTTCAACACGATTTCATTTCTCTTCTTACAGAAACAGCGCCAACCTTCAGATGCTAAAATTGTGATATTTCACCAAGTATTGTGGCACCATAACAATGGGTGTGCGCGGAATGGAACCGACACAAAGACTATGTCAATCACTCAGATTTCTCAGAAACGGATCTGAAAAGGAATGCTACGACTTGCGCTGAGCACGTAGGGCATTGCCGCCAGCATTCCAAACTAAACGATTGTAAGTTGTATAAGGAACAGAATCACATCAATGGAACCTGGAATATCACTGAAAACAGTCATGTGGAATTCACCCAACACAGTTCATCTTAACAAAAACCTCAACTAAGGAAATCGTCTTCGGAATAAGACTGAATCGCTGCATCTTTCTCAAGCCAATCCGCGGAGAGCTATACATGATCTGACGGTCCTTTACCGATAACCTAAATCACTTTGCCATTGCGTTGATCAGTCCAGTAGAGACCGCTGCGTTTAGGAATACACTGATTTTTGCACCATCCAGCAGCCACTAACAATATTCTTCAGGCCTGATCGAAAGCATTGCAATACAAGGACTGAAGTCAACTACACAGCAACGTTGTGTACCAAGACATAAGACTATAATTTTATTAATGTTGAACAAGAGTGGCAAAATTCCCGCCCAACATGAAATATGGAGGCAAGAGAAGTAGGATTTGAGCAGATCATGAGGCATACCAACTGAAATGTGGGTAGAACATGTGGCCATCCCTATTGGTCTTTTGGCTCGTCTGTGAAAAACCCGAACAAGAAGGTAGCGACTAGATAAAGGCTCACATACAGCAACTTAAGCAACGAACTATCAATCAATGGCTCTCTGGCAAACGAAACAGCCTGAGTGCGTCCGCCAATCGCAAGAGTCAGTCGATCACCACTACAAAACAACACCGTCTCTCTACTACAGTTTGCCAAGTGGAGATCATGGGTCTCTGTATAGATGATCTAGGTCCGAGTCCTATGTGGATATCAGTTACTAGATCCGTCTCCATACCCATTACAAATACTGTGTCAGAAACAGACAGAAGAAACCTGAGCTCTGAAAGCGGTGGAATTTTCGTGTTTTTAAAGTCAAAATATACGAAGCATACCATATAAATAAGAGTTTGACAGTTTCTACCCAAAGTGGGCCCAGGGATGGGGAGTGAATGAAAAATAAAACATGCGGTAAAATAGCAAGATAGTATTGCATTTCTGTAATAGGATGGATTGTCTTCAATTAATCAAGTAGAAATAAGCGGGCCACAAATGAAAAAGTAAGGAAACAGTCCCATTACATCACATACAACGCGCAGCAGCCGCAAGTGATCGGTAGTGTAGAACGTAGAGCAGAATTCGCAAGGCACATGATACGCACGTGGTGTTTGCTTTCTAGCAAACCTAATACAAACCTAGACGATCGGAAGGTACTGATTACCCTTCGGATGAAGGAAATAACGGTCAGGAAATAACTCCCTGGGTCCACGGACAGGGAGGTGATGTCTCAGCGCAAAGTTGTGGCCAATATGATTGCCAGTATGATTAACAAGAGAATGACGACTCCAGCGATAATCAGCTGCATCTAGATAGATGAAAAAACAGAGAATAGAGAGTTAATCGGGAGGGCTGCAAGAATCAAAGAGAGGAGCAGAGTCCGCCGCCCGTAAATTGATAGAATTATTCTCCACTGTGAAAAATCTAGACTGACCAAGGCAAACTTAGAATATCCGCAGGCTAATACGCGCTTTGTTGCAGCTTGAATCAGTTACTGAATGTTGGTAGAGTCTCTGAAATTCAGTATAAACTCACCAGATACTGCAGAACCAACGAGTTCCATGGAAATCGATGGGTTCAAGTGGGGCACAAGAAGCTCCTTAGGGGCGATTCGGGATCAGCTGACATGCGCACAAAAGTGGGTTGGGATCGGGTCATCAATCTATGGGTAGTGTAGCAATCTAAATTACTGCCACTGAGACCAAACTCAAACATTACGGGTGCCAATGTTGAGACGAGACAACGCCCCGCTTATTGACGGATGCAGTAATAACCGGAGAGGGACACAGGTAAATAAATCTCTGGTGAATCGAATCGACGAAACTTTGAAATATCCAAGCAATAAGTATTCACACTGTTCGTGAGGACACAAAACTGCGATCAACCGCAGCGGCAACGTAGTGCGGATAGGCGCAATAAATGCATTTTGCACAGTGCATGGGGAAGGTGTTCGGTACCAAGGGTAGAAGGGCACGAGAAGTAGTAATAATCATGATAGATAGATCGGTTAGAATACGGGATATCGTTTTATATATTGAAGCCGCGACGATAACTCGAACAGCTACCAAGCGTGCAGTGAAATACACACACAGTGATCGCAAACAGTCTATTGAGCATGCATGAGACCAGGTATTCATGGCATAAACCATGTAACGGGTGGATCGGAAAGAAAGAAGTACTCTTCGGGTCAGAAGAAGTTGCTTATTCTATTGCAAGAATAATCGGTTACCACAGGTTGTAGGTGGAATGGAGTTGGATTCATATACAAAGAGCAACTTCGAAGGAGAATGGTTATCCCATTACAGTAACGAGCTGTCTCAGCAAAACTGATCCAGCGCAGAATCCCCTCCAAGAGAAGACACCATGGAGACCAGCCAAACGGGGTCTCATTCTGCAGCCAGCTTACTTAGGCAACCACTTAAGCAACCCTTGGATCAGGCGATTACGTTCCCTTTTTGAGGATACCAACACGCTCTCTGCTATGCAAGTTTGTTTGTCCAGTGTATCTATGATACACCAGTCGCGATTCCAAATAAATTTCCTTTCTATTCGTCAATCCTAATTAAAAACTCAACGACATAAGCTTCGAATTCACTCGAACACTTCTTGATCGCTTTTGAATTTGATGAGAGACTCGAGCTTGAATAGCCTTCAAGCAGCCTTACTGTCGTCAAATAGTCAAACGCGTTAAGGAACCCGAAACCAGCCATAAATAGTAGCATAACTGACCGTGGAACAACTTACCCAGTACGAATTCTAGGTAACGAGGGAAGGTCTTAATACTTAAAGAAAACTGGTTATTGATTCAGTCGTTAGGTAGTATGCGGTTTTTATTTCTACGCTTGTGCGCAGTTGAACGTTCGTCCCTCTGCCATATTGGGCTCCATCTACGGGACACAAGTGTTGCCATGGGATCACAGGTCGTGGGGATAAGATTGAAGGTGTTCCTCAGGTAAAAAAGAATCGGTCGACAGGCAAGATGAACAACAAGACTGTGGGATGAGTTCATTTCGTACGCTCTGCTCCGCCGCTAAACGTGTCAGACAGTACAAGATACATAATACAATACAACTTACAATTACAATACACGTCAATACTGACGACTGGTTGTATCAGTCAAGGACATTACGAAATGTCCAGTTAAGCCCCAATCGTCGTCGATCTTCAGCTGTAACACTTTCAGTGCCTAGCTTTCATGCAACCAGATGGAAGCACGAGGGTTAAAATACCACCAGGTTGCTCAACCCTGGGCAGAAGCAGTGGAGACCCCGGGATTGGGTTCACACCACGGAACGTGCGATTGGCTAGTCCACGCTTTAAACACTGACCTATCCGAGCACTAGCGCTCCTTTGATATAAAATGCAAAAAAGGAAGCAGTGGATGCCGTAGTTATTGACGAAGAACAAATACCAAAGTACACTATAGTGAGCTGCCAGGAATGTACGACAATCATAGGTTTTTTAAATATTCACGTCCCATAACCGCCCCATTTACCTCGCGCGTGTTTACGGATATTCGCGGATTTCGAATAGAACTTTTTTGCGCATGCCTCCACTATACCACGGCATCCACAAAACCTACGATAAAATGCTTCCACGGATATACTGAATGCATTTATTGATGAAAAATAACCCATTAACCATACACAATAGAGCAAAATGATGATAACATGGTATTATTTACGCAGATAATATAAGTAATGTAATATGCACCAATAAAGATATTACTGCACCGCAGTTTCCCTCCCTCTAACGACTCCATCTAGTAAGAAACTTTCTCTTGAAATGGTACCACTATGTGTGTGCAATACTTCCGAACCTAGGGTCATTTGTTCAACTGTATTATATTGAAAGGGCCGTAATAGAGACAGCACATAGCGTCGATGACAGAATACTGCTCATGAGGTCGATTAAAACTAGGTTATTTTGCATGTGGGTGCATAATTACGCAAGCACGTAGCAGTGTTTGCGAAAACGCGGTACCGGGAAGCGCTTGCTGGAAAGGTACTTTTCGAAGAAATATCAATGTTCTGCTTTAGAGTGCAAAATAAATGTACGTAAACCGCAAAGTAACTGTACAACCGAGTCATCATCAACATCATTATTCAAGTGAAGCATATTCACTGATAACGATGTACTACTGGAAAGGTACTTTTCGAAGAAATATCAATGTTCTGCTTTAGAGTGCAAAATAAATGTACGTAAACCGCAAAGTAACTGTACAACCGAGTCATCATCAACATCATTATTCAAGTGAAGCATATTCACTGATAAGTACCGATGTACTACGCTCCCAAATAAAACGGTCATCCTTCTGAATCCGAAACAGATTTCCAAATATTTTTCTCATCGAAGGCCGTTAGGTGATAGTTCAGGGTCTAAATCATAAAAAATATTTGGAGCGGTGAGATCGGAGCACCACAAAACTCCTGCTCGCAGAATCCAACTTCAACATGGAATGAGGAGCTGTTGTACGGGTGACTCGTCAAACCAGACATTATGTCGCGTGAAAAAAAAACACGAATTTCGCACCGAGTGGCCAAATGCATATCAAGCACGGTTTATTGAAAGGTTGCATTCGGACCATTGTATGAACAGCACACATGAAGAGAATTAACCATGTGCACATATTACTTTCCAGATCAACAAGCGCTTCGTGCAGAGGCACTCTTGTCTACCTCGACAATTTGTGTTGAGGGAACTAGCTTTCCGCAAAAGTTTTCCTCATTCCCGGTTGTATTACTAGGATAGGTTTTATCGATATGCACGGAATTCATCGAATTGACGGGGAGCATGACATATTGAGGAGTTTACAGCAGTGACACAATGGGTGCTGGGGTTTTCAGATGAGTCATCGCCATCCAACCGATCGACAATAGTTAATAAAGCCACATGAGCGCTCATAACCATGCTAATCGTAGCTTGCAAGCAACACATCTGCCCTGATGCAAAACAATCATGTTAAATCAGCTAACATCAGAAAGATCAGGTGGCAATTTGTTTTCCTGAGTAGATTCCGAACTGGGTGTACAACTCTCGGTTGTTGTCCAATACTGAATACCCTCTTTTTCAACCGCAGGAGATTCTAGACCGTGTAAGCCAATACAGTAAACGTAGAATCAGCAATCAAACATAAGGCTACACGGTGGCCAGGTGCAGTGCACTTTAGCGGGAACAAGTACATAGTTGTTGTGAACTTTGACTATAAAATGCCAGCCGGATCACAATTAGTCTCATCATCTCCATCGATCGGTGATTAAAAGCTGCTTAAGTTCTACGGATCAATGCAGCCATATCACTAGTTGGATATCGGTTGGTTGAGTAAGAGTGAAATAGTTTACTGAACGGTACCAAAGTTCCAAAGTACCATACATGATAAATGAGATTCATTTATATGGAATATACTATTGACATTGACTATCTGATTCAGTGCATTATTAGATTTTGAAAAATGCATGTAGGTTTATGAATAATTAAACCATGTCAATATACAATAACATCTGGGATAATGGGAACTTGTGGATAGAGGTTTTCTTATCCAGAGGAGTAAGATTAACCTCGTTAACTGATTCGATTTGTCAGTGCATTACCAGTTGTCACATTTGGTAATCCGACATCAGTTGATCTACGCCACAACACCAACCTCCCAAGAAGCTGCTGGCAACCGAAAACGGTACAGGATTGAGAACGTACCTACGAAGAACGTTATGTTGGCCGTAATACGACTTCGCATGCGGCACTTTAAAAAATAGCTAATTCCATCGTCATTAAATTCCCACAATATTCCGTCAGCATTGTTTTGCATGGTGTTAACTGTTTTCGTATCCAAGAAAAAGTGTACAAATCCCAGCGATGACCCTCAGTTCGTGAAAATGTTGTCAGTACATGCTTGAAATGACCCATATCAGTACAGACGGGTTCCCTTCACTCAGTAAGGAAAGGTAGAAAGGACGTTCAGTAAGCTTACAAAACATTAATCCAGGTAGGGGATAGCGACTAAAAACACCTCTGCAACAAACCTAACGTAAAATTTGACCCGCATTAAAGTAACCATGCGGAAAAGTTACCAGGTTGTTTTAAAATTCATCTCAACAAGCTCAAGCTTAAGTTGTTAAACCTATCAAATCCATCTATCACATTTACTGCCACTAAGTACCGTCCTTTCAAGGATAGCATAGCATCAGGAGTGTCTAAGAACATGCGCCAGACAAACCTCGTGATTCCGGTTGTCTATCGGTTGTTACACTCGCTGCCTAAATATCATGCGGACATACAAATGAACCAACACTTGCTCTGTTTAGTCATTGTCCCTCAACAGAAAATACGGCTACCGTGAAATCCGCACCGATGCGAGGAACCATAAGGTTAGAACCAAAAACATATGCTTGCTTATTTTAAAGGTGGATGGACGAGCCCCTCAAGTGAGTGACAAGCATCCTGTGAACTGGCATCAACTTGCAAATCGCTGACCTCGCCTCACAATAGATGCTGTTTGCTACTTAGTTAAATCTGCTATACCATTACTAGATGTAAACGCCAAGACTGTGAGTCCGTTGATCATCGGCTACACATGTCCTTTTGGTAGCGTTGCTGCTGCAACTTTTGACCAATCCAGCTGGTGAACAGGGCGTCCTTAAGCCAGTTGGCGACCACATATCAAACCACACTGAATCCACAGGCGTGGATGGCGGATTCCGTGCTATTTAACAGCGGGGTATCACATTTATTTCTTTTCCGCACGCCCGCTGTTAATTTCACCCAGTGCAAGAACGCTGGTAACAGTGATTGACTCGGTGGCAGACGATAGTTGATGAAACTGCTAGCAGGTTAGGAGGAAACTCCTAATTTTTCATTAACTCAAAATACCTGGATGTTTTCTTCGCCATTATCATTCGACGGCCTTTAAAATATCTTTCAACTCCGCATGGTTCTCGGTTGGAAGACGTCTTTGGATACAGTTAAGTTTTCTAGTCTCGGCATACCGACGAAAGGTCTACTGAGGTCAGTTGCATGAGGATGCTCAGGGGTCACCTGGATCTGTAAGACGCTAACAGTTTGCGGTAGAATTTGGACCCACATAATTTCAAGGTCTTGCACAGTACTGCACAGGCCTACTACAAGGAGTTGGTTGGAGCTACTAATCAATTTCTGAAAGAAAAGCATACTAAAAAAGCACCTCGGTGAGGTATCTATATCGTTCAGCTGTGGCACCCTTACGACGCTTAACTGCCATGCCGCCGGAAGGAAGCATGAGGGCCGGGATACTGCCCCGTTGCCCAAGCCTAGACAGGGGAAGTCGAGAGGTAGAGGTCAAGTTCGAGCCACGCACTCAGTAAATTGCGCTTTAACCACTTGAGCTATATCGCCCCCTAGTTATCTATATTATCGTCAAGTGCCTGAAGTCTGGCAACTATATTGGCAGTAGGCCTTCGATCTTCACCCCTTCAATTTGGGCAGGATTGCAGTATTAAAGTAAACAACCAGAGTAAACTCACAGGTTCGGAGAACAAAGAGGCGGGTAAATGCGGATAAACTACCTGATCGAGTGTGTCCATTGATTCAACAATTTGGTGAACCAAGTCGTAGGAAATCTCACCGACTGGTTTTATGTCCGCCTTAAAGCTCGGTCAACTTGATAAATTAGACACGTGGTCTGTAGAAGCTTTTGTGCTAAAAGCGAAAAGTTGTCCAGCAATCATCAACGAAAGCATGACATCAGTGTTCAACACTGATGCTTCACTGCCGTACAACCATGACTTGTTTGAAAACCTTATTGTAAACAAAAGAATAAAGGTGGATGGGGGAGGGACTTAGTGCTAGCTTAACACAATCATTCAGAGGTGCATACACCGCCAGACATTCACTCAGGCAATCTAGATAGAAACTGACAACAAGAACGCCACTGACATCGGTTGGCAGCCATATCTTGTAGTGTCTCCAACCAGGCACAGTGAGGATCACGCGGTCCCCATCCTGGAAGGCGAGTAGCACCGACAGCACCCAAGCGTTTCGTCATCTCCTTCATACTCCTCTGCCAGGTCATGGGTTGGCCACCTCTCTGTTTACGCCACCCCGAATTGGG